TCAATTTGTTTTCGATAAAGAATTGATAAACTAACGAATCAAGATACCTGTATTGTTTGTCTCCCATCATAATCAGCGTTCTGAACTCTGGTAACCTGAAATTACAACCCATTATCATTATCTTTTTAGAAATTCTGTCGAACACTCCAATCAAATAAAATGGCTTGTTTGTAAATACCCCAATCTGATTGGCTGTATCAATCCAACCACATCGCTGTATTTACAAACTTCAGTGATACAAGAAAGGTGGCTATTGCAGGCAAGGTATAAGATGAAGTTTGTTATAACTTGACATTGTGAAGATGAGTAAAGGTATAAGATGAAGTGTATAATAGTTTGACATTGTGAAGATGAGTAAAGGTATAAGATGAAGTGTATTAACTTGACATTGTGAAGATGAGTAAAGGTATAAGATGAAGTGTGTAATAGTTTGACATTGTGAAGATGAGTAAAGGTATAAGATGAAGTGTGTAATGACTTGACATTGTAAAGATGAGTAAAGGTATAAGATGAAGTGTGTAATGACTTGACATTGTAAAGATGAGTAAAGGTATAAGATGAAGTGTGTAATGACTTGACATTGTGAAGATGAGTAAAGGTATAAGATGAAGTGTGTAATGACTTGACATTGTGAAGATGAGTAAAGGTATAAGATGAAGTGTGTAATAGCTTGACATTGTGAAGATGAGTAAAGGTGTAAGATGAAGTTTGTAATAACTTGACATTGTGAAGATGAGTAAAGGTATAAGATGAAGTTTGTAATAGTTTGACATTGTGAAGATGAGTAAAGGTATAAGATGAAGTTTGTAATAGTTTGACATTGTGAAGATGAGTAAAGGTATAAGATGAAGTGTGTATTAACTTGACATTGTGAAGATGAGTAAAGGTATAAGATGAAGTTTGTAATAGTTTGACATTGTGAAGATGAGTAAAGGTATAAGATGAAGTGTGTATTAACTTGACATTGTGAAGATGAGTAAAGGTATAAGATGAAGTTTGTAATAGTTTGACATTGTGAAGATGAGTAAAGGTATAAGATGAAGTGTGTAATGACTTGATATTGTGAAGATGAGTAAAGGTATAAGATGAAGTTTGTAATAACTTGATATTGTGAAGATGAGTAAAGGTATAAGATGAAGTTTGTTATAATTTGACATTGTGAAGATGAGTAAAGGTATAAGATGAAGTGTGTAATAGTTTGACATTGTGAAGATGAGTAAAGGTATAAGATGAAGTGTGTTATAACTTGACATTGTGAAGATGAGTAAAGGTAGAAGATGAAGTTTGTAATAACTTGACATTGTGAAGATGAGTAAAGGTATAAGATGAAGTTTGTTATAACTTGACATTGTGAAGATGAGTAAAGGTATAAGATGAAGTGTGTAATGACTTGCCATTGTGAAGATGAGTAAAGGTATAAGATGAAGTTTGTAATAGCTTGACATTGTGAAGATGAGTAAAGGTATAAGATGAAGTTTGTAATAGTTTGACATTGTGAAGATGAGTAAAGGTATAAGATGAAGTGTGTAATAACTTGACATTGTGAAGATGAGTAAAGGTATAAGATGAAGTTTGTAATAACTTGACATTGTGAAGAGGAGTAAAGGTATAAGATGAAGTTTGTATTAACTTGACATTGTGAAGATGAGTAAAGGTATAAGATGAAGTTTGTAATAACTTGACATTGTGAAGATGAGTAAAGGTATAAGATGAAGTGTGTAATAGCTTGACATTGTGAAGATGAGTAAAGGTATAAGATGAAGTGTGTAATAACTTGACATTGTGAAGATGAGTAAAGGTATAAGATGAAGTTTGTAATAGCTTGACATTGTGAAGATGAGTAAAGGTATAAGATGAAGTGTATAATAGCTTGACATTGTGAAGATGAGTAAAGGTATAAGATGAAGTGTGTAATAGTTTGACATTGTAAAGATGAGTAAAGGTATAAGATGAAGTTTATAATAGCTGACATGA